TCTGCCTTGAGCCTTGGCCTCAGCCTCAGCCTCAGCCTCAGCCTGCCTCAGCCTCAGCCTCAGCCTGCCTCAGCATCAGCCTGCCTCAGCCTCAGCCTGCCTCTGCCTCAGCCTCAGCCTGCTTCAGCCTCAGCCTCAGTCTGCCTTCAGCCTCGGCCTCAGCCTCAGCCTGCCTCAGCCTCAGCCTGCCTCAGCCTCAGCCTCAGCCTGCCTCACATTTAAAATGTGGCCCGGGAATGGAATTCTGGGAACTCGAAGAACAGGAAGTGGCCTACAGTTGGCTCCGGGCATTCAAAATCATGCCCAGGAATGGAATTCTGGGAATTCGAAGATCACGAAGTGGCGTACAGCTGGCTCCGGGCATCTAAAATGTGGCCCGGGAGTGGAGTTCTGGGAAGTCGAAGAACACGAAGTGGCCTACAGTTGGCTCCGGGCATCCAAAATGTGGCCCGGGAATGGAGTTCTGGGAAGTAGAAGAGCACGAAGTGGTTTACAGTTGGCTCCGGGCATCCAAAATGTGGCCCGGGAGTGGAGTTTTGGGAAGTCGAAGAGCACGAAGTGGCGTACAGTTGGCTCCGGGCCCCCGGGCATTCAGAATGTGGCCCGGGAATGGAGTTCTGGGAAATCGAAAAGCACGAAGTGTGTGACTGTATGCGAAAAACGATCCCCCCCGGCAAACCCCAACGGCCCCCCAACGGCTGCCCAGACCCCCTTGTGGAGTAATGTGCTGCTCTCTTTTTACACTATTAGAAACCTATCAGTCTTCGATGTTAGGTAACAAACAAGAGGGGAAACAGAGCACGAACGAGGGAGGGAGAAGGCAGGAGAGGGGAGAGAGAAGGGAGGAGAGAGAGGAGGGAGAGGGGATAGGGCCAAGCTAGGTGCGCTCGCGTCATATCAGACGTCCTACCCCTCCCTCCCATCCCTTACCATGGCGGTGATTTTCTCTATCCGCGGACGCGTGTCGTAGCGGACCTGTGGCTCCGCGCGCGCGTGCGTAGTGGGTGGTGGTGCGCGTGCGTGCGTGCGTGCGTGTGTACGTGGTTGTGGTGCTGGTGCTGGTGCTGGTGCTGGTGCTGGTGCTGGTGCTGGTGCTGGTGCTGGTGCTGGTGCTGGTGCTGGTGCTGGTGGTGGTGGTGGTGGTGGTGGTGCTGGTGGTGGTGGTAGTGGTGGTGGTGGCGCGGCGCGGTGGTGGCGGGCGGATGGGCGCGCGAGAAACAGGCCCGCGCTGGGGCGAGAACGCCATCCTGAACGACGGAGGCCAAACACCGATCCGAAAATGAGGCCCACGCTGCAGCGGGAGCACGATTCGGAACGATTCGGGAGCAGAAATGAGGCCGGCGCCCCAGCGAGAGCAGTATTTTGAAAAAGCGCAGGCGCAAACCCCACTCCCGGGAATCCTGTGCGTAAAAAACAATACGCGGGGGGGGGTCTAATACTTTCAGGCCGCCATCGGGGGAAGAGGGAGAATAGTATTCATATTGAGTAATTGTAGAGGGGCATAAGGATGAGGGAAGAGAGGAGGGAAAGAGAAGGGAGGAGAGGAGGGCGGAGGGAGGGGGGAGAGGGAGGAGGAGCAGGAAGGTAAGAGCGTGAGCGTTCGAGGAAGTCCTCGGCAAAAACGCCGTTCCTGAAGGAAGTCTCAGGCGGAAGCGAGATTTCTGAATACATTGCATGGAAGTCACAGGCGAGAGCGCAACTCCGGAATAAGATGTGAAGGGTTCTCTGGCGGGGGCGGGGATCTTGATTAAATTGCGGGAAAGTCTTGATTCAATTGCGAGGAAATCTCAAGCGGGAGCGCCGATCTTGAGTAAATTGTCAGGAAGTCTCAGATGGGAGCGGGGGTCCTGATTAAATTGCGAGGAAATCACAGGCGGGAACACCGATCCTGAGTAAATTGTGAGGAAGTCTGAGGAGCGGTGGTCCTGAGTAAATATGAAGGAGGTCTCAAGCGGGAGCCGTTGTTGTTGTAATCCGAGGGGCCAGGGGCCCAGTTTGAGCACCAAGATTGTCTCTGTCAAAAACAGGGTGCGAGCGTCGAGGGGCACACTTTGATAGAGAAAAGACATCATGCACCGGTGAGGGGGGATCAACAATAATCATTCTTCAGAAATGAGAGTTCGATAACAACAATAACAACAATGATAATAGCAACAACAGCAACGCAATAAGCATAATCCTCACCGCGGATCTCCCCTGCAGCCACGCACCCAGGGACAGTGAATAACCGTTCGGCCTTCTCTTCCTGATACATAGATATACACACTTACATGTGTGTTTGTATACGTCCAGGCCTACGCTCTCTATATATGTACATATATATGTATATATATATATATATATATATAAGATCGGGGCGATCTCGTGCGATGTGGAGGTGCCTTTGTCGCCGCCGCGCGCCCATCGCAGAGAACGAGGAAGGAGGCTGCAACAGTGGGCACAAGGACGAAGAGGAGGAGGTGAAGGGATCGAGGAGGAAGAGGAGGAGTGATCCAGAATC